AAGTATTTAACTTGCAGTTGCACACTTGCAAGTATTTAACTTACAGTTGCACACTTAGAAGTGTTGAGCAGTTGAACACTTAGTTTATCAGTGTAAATTTCTACACGACTACCGACTCCAACGACCGTCGTGACCCGTCAACCATACTGCTCAGTTCGGCGCGGCAGGCTAGGTCGGTGAGCTCTCATAGCGCCTGATGGGTAGGCAACTTCTTGCCTGCAGTGCACGCGTGTGCGGCGGGGTGGCCTACCCCGAGCCTCGCAGGCGCCGAGGAGCTCCCGTCTCCCGTCTACAATTTGCCAAATGAATCTGAGGATCTGAGGGAAACTATGCAGTACTCTCTTTCGTGTGAAAAATAAATGTACGTTTTACGGGACTCTGTGAAAAATATCATCGTAAATTTACAAAAATTTTGTCAACTTGAATTATAATTTAAGTTGTAAATTTACGACAGCACATTTTTTACTCGCCAAGGGATTTGAAGTCGATTCATACAGCATGTATTTTTACGATTTCAAAAATTGTAATTTTACAACTTGCGTCAAGGAAAATTTTCCTGTAAACCTACCTACTTTTTTCACATTGGAAAATTTTACTGTGAAACGTGTCGTAAAGATTACAATTCGAAGTTGGTAAAATTACAATCGTTGGGCAGCCGATCGACTTGGAGAATTCATCGACGAGCGAAGACTGGGCTCCCGCAAATTTACACCATTTCTTGTTTTTAGTAGTAAATTACAAAATGTATCGTAAATTTACGAGGATATTTTTTTCACAGTGTCTGGACTGGCCTTTATGGCGCAGCGCCGCGCGAACGAGAGTAGAGCTCGCGGCGTCCGCGCCGCCGTACGGGTATCCGCCCGTGTGAGTCGAGCCGCCGGCCGAGTCAGCTGCCGGGCGGCGGCGTGGGAGTCGAGTTCGGGTCAGGCGCCGGGGCCATGGCCGGGGCGCTATGGGAGGTTCCGAGGGAGGATCCCTGGAGGATCCCCGCCCGCTAATAGCGGAATAAGGAAAGTGCGATCCCTCTCTGCGCTTCCCTCGCTCTCCCTCCCTGGAGCCCCGACCTGCTGGAGTTCAGGGAGCCTCCTGGACTCCAGGGAGCCGCTGCGGGCCTCGTGAGGATTTGGGCGCCGCGCGTTAGCCACTACTCAAACGAAAAAAAAATCGGTGCACGCGCACCGTCAGAAAAAAAAAATCAGAAAAAATCCGAGGAAAATCAATTTTAAAAATTTAGAGAAAATTTTGAATAAAAAACACTTTAAAAAATCAAGAAATTGATGTACGCGCTTGAATTATAAGTGAGATACCCCTCGGACTTAACTCGCCGGCTTCACGTGGTTGCCTTTATTGCTCCACCCCTCCCTCCATTGCAGTACGCACGCGCGCTCGAGCGAAAGGCGCCGCGGACACGAGTTACGCTATACTGCTCTAAATATTATTTGATTCGGCCAACTGCTTCCAGTCTGAGATCCGCCAATCTCGAATTAATAATCATCCATCTGTGCGTGACGCATTCTTTCATGCATCGTACTTTCTTCCGCATTCATTTTTTACATACGCGAATTTTTTTTTTTCGTTCAGGCGATCTCTTTAGCCGCCCTTGCATCTTTCGCAATAACTTTTCTTTTTGTTGGGAGCTTGGGCAGCCACCCCCGGAGCTGTTGCGGCCTACGCTGTTGTTTGGCCTGCTCCGCGGTGCCGACCT